GCCTTTAAAAATACAAAAGTATTTTAACATAATTAATTAAAATATACTATGCAACAAATATTTGTTAGATTAATAAATAATATAAAATAATATATACGTACCTATCAGCTCCAGCACATGATAACATTTTATTGATACGAATAACATGGAATGGGTGCAGTCTCATACGAATGTGAAATTGATCTTTTCCAGCATTTTTCACCATATATTTATTGGCACAAATACGTCCAGCTTCAAGAGCTTCAGAACTTAACTGCTCATATTCATCTGATACTAAGTGGACACATAATGGAAAATCCTCTACAGAGGCTTTCTTTTTTCCAAGATCAAAGATACGAATCTTTGGATCAGGCACACCTCTGCAGAACCTTGATTTGGGATAGGGTTTGTTCTTACAATAGCGATAACTATAAACAAAACATAAGTATTTCATATTAGAAACATTTATAAATAACAATATAACATAGAATCATAATTGAGTTTATTAATAGAAGTGCAAAAAGCATGCATGACAATCTTTAACCTTCAATATTAGTCATTATAAGAAATTGTGTTTCAACATATTATAATTTATATGAAAATGTATCGAACATGAAAAGTAACAATATTTATCTACTTTGTTTTACTAAAATTTCAACAAAACAAATGAATATATGTAATACATACCATCTAGCTGGTCGGCGCCCCATACTAGCTGTCAATAAACAAAAATATCAGATAAATAATAAAATAATACTTAAAGAAGCTTATTTAATAGCTTAAATTAATACAAAAAAGAAGGATGCTTAATATATTTCTAGATATTTTAAGATTAAAATGAACGAACAAAAACACTACCTTGTGGCTCTAAACGACGTTAAACAAGAAAGGAATCGATCAGTCTGAATTCAGCCGTGAGTGAAAACTGTGAAGTTAGCGGTAACTAGAATATTACTAGTTAAGGTTAGTTTCCAATTAATGACAATGTTACATATATGTTATTAAAAGCTATAAACAGTGATAGTTCTTAAGAAAGATAAAACAGTTTTGTAAATTGCTATTAGACCACTATTTTAAAATGTTATAATGGAATCAGAATTATCGGAAGAAGTTCCCTTACGTGCACAATTTACAGTTGATGATTTGGATATTGAAATATTACCTCTTATATATGAAATAATTCGGAGGTTCGTGTATTCTAATAGATTAATAATTAGTGTTAATTCTACTGTTCAATTATAACTTTGAATTATTTCAGAATAAAAGTATA